AGAAAACTAAATTTAATTGTTTACCCTTGGCTTCATTTTGGCGGAATGCTGGATATTTCTTCTTTTACCATGAAATTTGGAGGTCGTTTTAGTAGACTTTTTGCCAAAAGTGGATTTGCATCAGTTTCCACATCATTCGGTTGGTACTCGAACTCATGTTGATTATTGTATTGGTAATCCTCCCCGTTAAGGTGGACTGGTTCAAATTTTATAGAAACTGGTTCCTCCTCCTCCAATGTATTAAAATCCTTATCAGTATTTGCCAATTCCTCGTCATCCTCTTCTGGAAATTGAATACAAATGTTAATGTTTATACATTAAAAATTTGCCATTAAATTTACACACGTTTCTAATTAAAACCAGGTCAAAACCAGTACCAGAGAAATCGTTCTGTAGTTTATTAAAGAGCGAATTCCTGCTTGAAATTAGGGCATGTAACGAAGCAGCAATATTGAATATTTTCAATTTGGTTCGCCAACTGGGTCATGGAGGAAATTGAGGTGGTACAAGTTTGGCAAGAAAATCGCTGGGTGGCCGCAATGTGAAAAAGTAGTTCCGGCCGAAGAAGAATTTTGCAACAGTATCCATTTCTAGGTCTTTTAGTGGAGTCAAATTCGACCCCTCGGAGGAGCAAAGAAACACAACCTGAGGTTTTCTCGAGGGAGGAATGATTGCCAAGTGCGAATGATAAGAGATCATTATTGACATCTTCCGGTTTATCATTGTCAGAATGTAAATCTGGTAAAATGTGTTCCACCACTACATTTTCCATTCTGATTTGTCTTCTTCCTGTGACGTTCTTTTTGACCTTTAAACAGAAAATGCAATTATAACCAAGTTTCTAGTATTATCTAAATACTTAAAACTAAATATTTACTTAAATTATCTATAGAAATCGGATTCTATAAATTAATAATGAATAAAGTTATAAAATACCTTTTTAAAAATGTAAATAATTCCATTTCAACTTAATTTAAAGCGGTACGTTATGCACTTAAAAATCTCGTTAATTTGTGGCCTTGTTTAAACTTTATATGGAGGATAGAACAGGATGACGAAATTGGTATTGAGTTGCCTGAATATCTATTTATTGAATTATTGCAGAGATTGTTGAAATAAGATTTTAAGCAATGTGATCGGCTGATTTGTTATTAGATAGGTTGCGAGTCTACGTTAACGTGAAAAATTTTCTCCCGTAAACGTTAAATTTTGCCTCCCGCCAATTTTCGGCGGCGCCGGTTGAACTTTACGTTCGTTTATTTACGTTCACGTTATTTTGGACGCTAAATCAACCCATTTAGCGTGCAGTTTACGTACAATATCGTAAAGCTTCTTTTCATACAAATTAAAGAAAACCAACAATAAGCATGAAGTTTTTTTGTTTATTAGTAAATTCTTGTTGACAAATGCATTAAATGTATTACTTGTTTTGACAACACTGCAGTTTCAAACTAGTTGATAATCAGTCAAATTAATTAACTGCAACAAGAAAAATATTCCATGACGAATGTAAACAAACCATTGAAATGAGATTCAAATTTAGCGCACAAGTTTACGCTCACGTTAATTCGCAAGCGTGAAATTCGTGCATTCCGTAAACGTAAACGTTAACGCTAAATTGTACGTTTACGTTTGCGTTTACGTGAGACCCGAAAACTCGCAATCTATCTAATCTCGCACATTTCTAGCATACTGGTTTTGCTTCGATTTTCTGTCAGGTTGCCACTCTAGCGGAAGCAAACTCGTTTGCTATAATTCAGTAGCAAATCGCTACCAAACCGGTCATATATAGACACGCGCGGTAGCGATTTGGGTGAGTATTTTGCTGTGAGTGTACCTTGTGCTGTGAGTGTACGAATGTAAGTGTAAGCATAAATATTATTTAAGATATATATATACCATCTAATAGTGTTTTTTTCGGCTTCTAACGATTTTCGAGTTATATAGGTTAAAATTTGCGTAAAAATGAGTAGATCAAGAATCCGTAATAAATGGGGGGGGGGGGTGCTCCAGCAGTTTTCGAGATACAAGCCAAAATGTGCGAATTTTTTGCAAATTTTGAGTTTTGTCTCATATTCGTCCAAATTCGGTTTAAATATGACTGGAAATAATTTTAAAAATTATTTTGGGCTAGAATTTGCCCACTGCCTCGATTTCGGACCCCACTTTTCGAATTTGCGGAATTTTGCAAAATAATCGCATTTTGCATATTAGTTTTCCACGATCGAATTATGGATTTCTTTATACAATTTGAGGTTATCCGTAGGTTCTCAAGGTTGAATGGAATCGTTGGAAACAATTTGTTACTTATGTCGAATTTTGTAATCAGCAGCGAAGGTTGCTAATTACGCATCGCCTTGAGAAACAATTAATTCATATAATGATGGGTAACTCGAAATTTTATTAAAAATTTGAAATTTTGTTAATAATTCAAAAAGGTTGTTAATTACGCGTCGCCTTGAAAATTAAAAATTAGTTAGAATTTTCCTGACATACGCTCATCAGATATAGATATTTATAAGTTTGATTAAAAAACACTATTAGATGGTATATATCTACCTTAAAAATTTGAAATATTGTTGAGAATTCAAAATTTTGTTAATAATTCAAAAAGGTTGTTAATTACGCATCGCCTTGTTTATTAAACGATGACATACTGTTGGAATACTTCGGGTCAGTATTTGGTTTCTTATAATTGGTAATTTATACATGCATGCATCAAATTCCAATGAATTAGCACCGTCACACGTTTCCACATTGTTCAATAAAACTCTATTTATGTAGCAATAATTTTGTACAACCCAACTTTTAAGCCATATTTGCGTAAGTTTATAAAATGGATGTAACTAAACTATTTGTTTTTATCATACTGGTGAAATTCAATGCTACAGGAAACCAAATCTACACACTACACAATCAATAGCAATGAGAGGTAGAGATTTTTTGGATTTTTCCTTATACTTTACTGTGGCTACAGTACAGTACAAAAATTAGTACAAATTTCAAAGAGGTAGAGAATTTCAATTATTTTGTACTATAAAAAATTTGATTGTAAAATTCCGCGAAGAGAAATTGAGACAATTCAACTCATGATGAACCAAATAAATTTAATCCAGGCGTCAGGGGAAGGAGAGAATTTTACCCACCACCACTTGATTTCCAGAGTAAAATACAAACTGAGCCCGTGTTTCAATTCGTCTCCTGTAGACTGTAGAATCAGTACAAAAAGCTGATGACGTCATCATCTTGAGTCCACAGTACAGTCTACAGTCGAAGTACAAGTTATCTCTACCTCTCTAATAGCAATAACTGTACCCACAAACCGTTCTTTCTGTTACGTCCTGTTGATTTCATATGCCCTCTTATTTTCAATTAGTTTCCCCTTGGAATATTTACGGAATATAAACTTCAAACTTGTCCTGCCTAAACCTTCCCTCTTTTCGAAATGCAGTTAATTTTTCCCTTAAAATTCATCTGCCTCACACTAACTGTGACACTGGGTCACAACAATTTTACTGTCATCACAACCTCCGAGTTTAAATCTTGTCACGACTGTCCTTGGGTTCGCAGATTTAATAGTGAGCAACTAACCAGCAATAACAAACCTCTACTGCAATTTTCTTGCCGGGCGAATTTTCCATTGATTGGGAATTTCATTATGATGAGGTAACCCCCGTAATATTTGTTTACTGTCACTTTAATCAGTAATAAGTATTACTCGACAGTGACTAAATTAATGTTACTGCACCCCCACGGTAATCATCAGAGTCCGGTTATGTATGTATTTTAAACTTTTTTAATAACAGCCCGATTGAATTGAAACTTTGGGATCTTGTTTGTGGTCGGGCATAGGTCACACGGTCAAAAAAATGTTTTCACATATTTCGAGGTTTTCATACATATAAATATGTTGTAACATATTTCGGCGATTTTGCCAAAAATGTGCATTTTTTGATACACATAAATATGTTTTTACATATTTCGGCGATTTTATGAAAATATATATTTTTTGGCACACATAAATATGTTTTTACATATTTCAGCAATTTTCCAAAAATATATATTCTTTTAGAAAAACCTCAGAAATTCACAATGCATAAATAATTCCGACCATCGTTTGAATAGGACACCAGGTCGTGTGGAAATGCTACACTTTCAAATGTAAAAGCCTTTTTTGGCATTTTTACCGTCAAATAAGTTTAATTTAAAGCAGTTTAACGAGAATCAAAAAAATGTTTTTGTACATATTTTGGCGATTTGATTAAACATTTTACGTACATATTTAGGGTTTTTAAGAACATATTTATCCGCACTCTGGTAATCATGTTCTACATACACGTGTTACCGAGATTGAATTTCTTGCTAACTGCTTCATACATAATAACTGCAACGGATGGCTAAAACATATATGCTACCAAAGAGAATAAACTTTTCACCATTCCGTACTCTATTTACTCGATGATGAGAGTAAATGCAAAAAAAAAACTGTGTAAATTTATTTGCCTTGCAGAACGACCAGGTCGAAGTTCAATTGAGGACAATGGATTATAAAAGGGAAGTTCAATCCTTCACAAATATTTCTAGTTACTCCTATAGAACAAATGTCATTATCCAGTATCCCTATCGACTCCAATTTTTTCCAAACTTTACCTGTTTCTCCACTCAAAAATCATACCAAGCTCACTCGACTTGTGGTCCATGGCACTAACGAGTATTTTGAAATTACTGCCGCCTCAACGTCAAATGGTGATACGTATGCGTACAACTTTTGCAAAACTATTCAAACTTGTGAGTACTAAACGGGTATTCTTATTTTTTTAGATTACTACAAATCACATTTTCCTCAAGATTTCCTGCAGCGTATACATATTTTGCGGTTCGGCTGCAATTCCGCACGAGGATAATATGGGGCCGTGCATACGTTTTTTTGTATGCAAATGCAACCAGACAGGATTTGAATTACCAACTCATTCCTCTTAAACATAATTGTGAAAGTATGCATTGTGTCAGAGTTTATGGCCTTACGAACTACAAGTGGGTGTCGTTGTTTTTTTATTTTTCTTAAAGCAATAGAATATAATTTTTGATCCTTATTTCTAGATAGGCTGCATGTCCATCTTTGATGGTGGTTTTGAACCACCGTGCGGAACCGGTGTTCAAGAAATTTTCTGCTTTGTGAGTATAAACTGTGTACTAGAAATATAAGTAAGTACTGGAGTTTTTTTAATTCTCAGACGTCGGACAACAAAAAATGTGTTGCGTCCAATGATATGAAGCCATTTGTCATTTCATGTCAAAATACTATTCAAAGCGGAGTAGTACAGGCGACATTTGGGTTTTATGGGATTCGAAGTATGGAGCAGTATCTCTGGGATAATTCAACACGTCCCCGAATTTGTATATGTTACTTACCTTGTAATTTTATTAATTCCGTCACCATTATTAAAATTGACTAAAGAACTGCCAGATTTCAGCTTAGACCCTGCCGACCAGGAAATGGTTGACGATATGGTTGAACTGGTCCAACAAAATTATACAAGCGAAACCTTTGTTGGGCAACCTGTGGAATTTCGGTGCAGGGTGACCTCGATCTATTGCGGTTATCCGTTGTGGATAAGTATTACTTATGAAGAAGGAGAAACACTTTATTCGGAACTGCTGTATAATTCCAACAACAACCCCAAACTTGGGACAATTCATAACATCAGTGTGTAATTTCACACAATTAGATTATCCGTATCCGCTTACTGATCTAATGTCCAATTGATCCCACAGCTTCCCCGCACTATCCAGGAAATATTGGATGGTATTACGAAACCCTATACGAATTTGTGGTTCTAAAATCTGGCCAGTTCACAACCAGCTGTCATTGCCCATATTTAATTCATCAGGATGGATTAACGCCACAGAAACTGTGATTGCTCAGGATGGTGAGAAAGTATGTGGTGCAAGTTAGCCGTGGCCGAGATGCAATTTAGCCGTGGCCGTAGCCGATGCAAGTTAGCCGTGGCCGTGGCCGAGATGCAAGTTGGCCGTGGCCGTGGCCGAGCCTA